TCTAACTTTCAAATCACTCCATAATTAAAAGTTTACACGACTGATTGATCCATTATCCAAGTGATTGAGCCAATATCCAAACCATTTTGCCATTAATGGAATAAAGTTCACACTTCCATTTTGTAAAAGAGACTTTAATCATAATGTCCACTCTCCTTGAGCATTGCAATTGTTTCTTCTAAACATACACAATGTAAAAACCAGAAGCAACTTGTCTAGAGCCTCTAACCACTCAGACCGTGCTTGTACTTCACATTGAAACCATGAATTTCAAAGCTTGCTTCATGTACAATCCAACTTAGCCATAACATGTGACTTTGTAAACCAAGGTCTCTCAGCCTTCAAAACCTTTCCTATATTAATAAAGAAGTTATTTTTAAGCTAACACATGAGTTTACAAGCCCTTTAACCCCCTCAAACTCCCTCAAATCAGAACTTGCATAAAAAATCCATTACTTGTGATTTCTGACCTTGCACATCAAACACCAAATCCCTTCGTGCATTTTCCCTTTTAATCAATCACAAAGCTTATAAACTAATATAGAGTATATCCAAACACTTTATATACAACTGTAACACCATCTTCATCATCCTCCATTTCCAAAAACAGCAACCTGCAACTTGACTTCTCCAAGAGAATCCAGCCACTCTCAATCCAAAGTAAGCATTACAATAGCTTCCTGGGAGTTTAGTGAAGCTATCCAGATCTCACAACACCTCAAGGAGTGCTCCAACTTCCAACGCGATTTCCAGTTTTGAGGTAAGTTTTCTCAACTTTGAACTTCATATACAAGCATCATTAATGGTTACCTTGTGAATGAAAAATGTAAACATCATTACCCTGAAGCTAACCATGCCTTTAGTTTTCATTTATATTGCTTGAGTGATACGAATTTTGAAGTTAAACTTTCTGAAGAATTAGGGTTTATTTTGGTACCAACAAAAATTCATGTTTATCTTTGAGAGTTAGCTTAAGTTATTTACATGGTTGGATTCGTGGTGAAAAAATAAGCAAGTTTCATGTTTACACTTTTGAAAATGGTTGAGAAATGAGCAAGTTTGAAAATTCAAAAATGTTGATGAAGTTGATGGGGCGAGGAAGAAGATGAAGTCATATCCAGGCTTGAGTTTATAATATATTTATTGATTGTTGTTTCATCACCGGATATAACAGCCACCCTAGTGGCAGAGCGCGTGCGTATAAGTCATTCCTATGCCTGGTCACAGGTTCGAGCCAGGCGTGGGACATTTTTCTTTTCATATTTGTTTCTCACAGATCCAATGCAAGCAGGCTTAGCGCGGCTATCATGAGCCTCACATTCTCACAGATCCAATGCCTCAAAGCGTGTGACCATGATGCACTCTCAAAAGCCAGCGACACTGAATCATAAGCATGCGCTGGGCCTCCCTGACTTGGACCTCTTTCTTTTTATTTTTACTATTTTCTCTCCCCCAAATTTCTCATGACAACCAGGTCCATTTCTGTTTTTTTTTTCTTCTGATTCAAACAAAAGAACATATGTTTGGGCCTAACATTTTTTTTGCTATATTTCACACCCCTTTTACTTTTCAACACTCAGGCCCAATATTGTTTATATATTTTCTTTACTTTATTTGTTTATTTATTTTTATTTAACCAAAAATACAAAAAATATATTTTCTTGAATAATTAGATTAAAAATATCTTAATTCAATCGTTTTTATTTTTATTTTTACTACATTTATCTTTTCCAAACAAATAAAACCTCAAAAGCATTTTTTCTAACAATTAATTTCTCTTTTGATTTAATTTAGATTTAGGTTTCTTATATTTTAATTATTTTTTCTTTTGATTAATAAAATTAATTTTTTTATTTTAATTTAATTAGGTTTACTAAATTCTTTTAAAGTCAACCAATTAGGTTAAAATATTCTTCTCTACCAAAAAACACTTCTTCTTTATTTACTCTACTTTACATTCTTGCGCATTTTATTATTTCACATTATTACTTATTCAATGTTCTGTAATAGATAATTAGGGCTTTATTGCTTTCCTCTCATTCACAAACTTGTACCCCCCATTCCCAAAGCGTTGTAAAAACGTAGGATATTTAAATTCCACAGTTTATCACTTTCCTTATTATTGTTAGTAATTAGGGTTTGTATGACAAGATCAAAATCAATCAAACACTCACATGGTGATAGAGGATAGGAGAAACCTCTATAAATAGTTGAGCAATTTCTTAGGAATTAACAATCTTTAAAAATATAATCCTTTGGTCAAAGAGAACATTAATTGAGGGAAAAACTGCCACCTAAATCCATATGCATTGTCAAAAACAGCTTTGAACGCCTTTAATTACGTTGGACTATTTCTACTGAAAATAACCAGTCCCAATACTTGCACATGCATGGTCAAACATGCTTCCTGACACATGATTAATCAACCTCTCTTGTTGGTTTCGTAGGAAACATGTCCCGATTAATGTCTTGACATCCAGTCAAATATTGTCTTCTTTTAAGATCTTGACCAACACATCTTCATACACCCTGTCTTCCACTGGATTCTAAGTGTTATCCTTTCACTTAGTCTTGTGATATACACCAAGATATGAAAATATCACATTTGTGACATCTCTCAATAATATAGACCCTTAGAGAGTCTTTTAACATCTACAAAGAAAAATAAATTCTCCCAGACATAATCATTAATCACCAGAGAGATATGTAGCTGAAACGACTGGTTGAACAACCAACTGACAATAAAATCAATGAAGTCGCCATCGAACATTTTTTATCTCACAGGAAGGGAAAGGTAAACATCGAGTAAATCTGAGAAGGATGAAATCACGATTAAACGACCGAGGGAGTTTGTTACGCGAGGGGAAGGTATTAGCATCTCACACGCCCGTAGTACTCTATGGTATCCACTCATGTTGTTCTAATCAAAGGGTGTGTAAGAATCTATATCTAAACAATATATAGAATGCATGCAAAAGAAAAGAGAAACTAATGTAGGGAAAATAAAAGTTGTGCTCGTTCGGGCCCTACCCCAATGCCTACGTATCCCTTTTAAGGAATCAGAGCAGTCGTAGTTTGGCACAAAAGTTTCTGTTGGTTTGTATTTTTTAATGGACGACATTAATTTCTCCTTCTGCCGTAGCTCGACCTTTGGAGACTCACGTGTCAGCACAAAAGTAATTAACATGTTATTTTGAAAAGGTTTGAAAGAAAGGCCCGAAGGCGCAAAAAGTTTACATTGGTTGGTATTTTTTACCTTAAAGAAGGATTTGGAAGTTGTTAGATGTTTTATGCATTTGCTAAGAAAAAGAAGAGTTTTAGTCTTAATGCAAAGATGCAAAAGAAAGAAAAACATATAGGGGAGACAAACCTAGATCTATCCCTAAGGTTATCATACAATGATTGATCCTAAAGTTGAGGTTTAAAGGGAAATCTCTACTACCCTATGTTCACATGCATGGATAACAATCCTAATGTCTATCTTAAATCTTCATCTATAGATGAATCAAGAAGTCCTAAAGGAGCATAGCAAGGGCCTATAACCTAAAACTATGTATATCTCAAATCATCATCTATAGCTGAATCGAGAGCTCCTAAGGGAACATGCCGAGGGTAAATCATCTCAAAACATGCACACAAAGATGAAATCAAGCAAGCAAACCAATAAGCTCAAGAGAGCATACACAATATGTCATGAGCAGAACATGCTAACTCAAGTCAAATGCCTAACCATGATATAGAGGATCAAGGTAGGTATAAAATCAGTAGGGGTGCTTTAGCCAAGGGGTCATATCAACCGAGGCAAACAAGCGGGGAGGGGATAGAAGAAAAGAGCATGGAGCATCAATGTCGACCAACCTGAGCTCAAGACAAAATGTGAGGGATTGATTATAGATCCCTTTTCCACTTGACGACTCGATAGTTTGAACAAAAGTGGGGGATTGATTATCGAACCCAAACGAACAAAAGTTCGTAGCGCTGCGAGAAAAAAATAGAGAAATCCGGAAAACTTCGAGTAAGCTTCACCAAGCAACAGAAAAGAGTAAGAGATCAAATGCTCGGAATAAGTGTTGAAGCATCATCGATGTGGAAATAAATCACAATCGAAATCTCAAGCATATCCGCATATAGCACAATAAACCTGCATAAGACTCAAATCTCAACAAGCAAAAGTGAATTACCAATCTCAAGTAATCGGATAATCGAGATTTAATTCCTAAAATCAAAATAAAAAATCTAACAAATTTTTATATTTGATTTTATTATTTTTTATCATGTAAAAAAAATTCAAATAAAACAATTATAAAAAATATCCAAACAAAAATGAAAATAATAAAAAAGGGGTGCAATATGTACACAATGCTGCTACGTGACAATCCAAATTCTTATGCTAAGCCTAGTCCATGAAGATTTTTTTGTTACAAGCAATACAATTGTTGTGGGATTTGGGAGGTGTAGTTCGGATCATAGCAGGGGTGTGAGATAGAGAACCCAGGGAAATTAGATCTAGAAATCTATTTTTGTACTCAAGGCTTCAGGCTGACAAAAACGAGCCTAAGTGGGAGAGGAAGATCCGGCCCAATAACTCCCTCACTACAAATTTTCATTCCAGTTTATTCACATTTATTTATTTGTTTATTTTTAATATCAAAATTTAAAAAAAAAAGAAAAAGAAATAATCAAAAACTTAAAAATAAATAAGAGTTAGGGTTGAGTTGTTGCGACGTTCCCCATTCTCACATGAAGCACGAAAACCTCTTCTCTCCTCTCAGCTCACGCGGTGGAGCCACCTCCTTCAAGCTTCTTCTTTGACCGATTTCTCTATTCAGGCATTCACCCCAAATCAACGTCAGATTGATATTTAAAATGAAACTCCAATTACAATCATAGTTTAGGGGATTCACGATTCAGCGGCGGCAATGAGAGTTCGCGGAAGATACGCGCGAGGAGAAAATGATAACTAGCAAGAACTAGTAAAAGAAAGTGTCAAAAAAGATGTTATGAGAGCTTACCGATCGGGATCCGTCCGATACGGCCTTGACGACAATGAAGAGAGAAATATCAGGTACGTACGCCTTTGTTTCAATACTTTTCTCCTCTTCTTCTTCTTCGCGGTTTTGTATTTTCTTGCGTTTGGTTGCGTTACGGTTGGCAGAAATTCTGCAGAGAAATGAGATGTTGTTGAATATGTTCTACAGATTGAAGGTTGGTGATTGATGAGCAAAGACGGAGGATCTACATGGATGGTGATGCTGATTAAAGTACAGAAGATCTCAAAGAGAGTTGAAGAGATATTGCAGAGGAATTTTCTGTGATTCTTCAGAGTGTTTGAAGGATGAAGTGAAGAATGTTGAAGAAGATTCTGGAGCTGTGAGATAGCTTAAAGATATGTGTGAAGATTTGTGATGATGAAGGTGTTGGTGTTGTTGCAGATGAACATTACAAATGTGGAAGGTTAAGGGAAAGATTCAGTTGCAGAATTTTGTGATGAAGATTGTTAGCAGAGGAGTTTCAGGTATTGAAGTCCTGAGATGGTGAATGAAGAGAATGCATAGAGATTTTTGGTGTTTTCAGTTTGTAGTGATTCTCCAAGAATGTGAGAATGATGAAGATTGCAGAGTTGAGAGTGAAGGTCGAAGATGAAGATTGCGTGAATTTTTCAGAGAGAAAGATTGGAGAATTTTCTAGTTTTTGGTGACTCCTCTGAGGAGGATGAAGAATCCCTCGATACCAGGTGAGAATTCTATTATATATCTCCGTTAGATCTGGAAATTTTTTTTATAAGGAAATTGAATCTGAATTGTTAATTCTAACAGTTAGTTACAAGAATTGGAAAGCTGAGATTTGTTTGAAATTCTGTTATAAGCTGAGCTGGCATATCAGTTTCAATTTCCCGATTTTTCCCATCTTTCCTCTAATTTTCAGATAAGCTGTAAATTCTGAAATTTTAGTCCTTTGTATTTTCTGTTATGTTAGTAGGAGTTTTTAGGAAGTTGAAACTCAGTTGGTCAGTTATTTGGATAAAAAAACTGTTAGAAACTGGATTTGGTGAATGAGTTTGGATTAAATGCAGTTTGAATCACCTAAACCGGTTCTTGGGATTGCCTTTATTATTTTGCTTCTCACATTGAATTGGTCTGGATTTAAGGAAAGAACCGGTCTCTTGTATTGGCTATAAATGTTCTTGATTTTCCTCTTATTTTCACAACTGATGCAGGGCAATGCATGGGTTTATGTTAGTAGTTAAGGTATGGTTAATTTTTATGATTTTCACGGATTGGTTTAATGTGCATAGGGCAGGTTTGGTTAGGTGTTAGTAAATGGTTTTGTTAGGGAAACTTCAGTTATGAATTTTTCGGTTGATGACTTAGATATTTGTTTTTTACTTTTACAGGTTGTTAAATGGGGGTATGCGGCTGAGATGACCATCCTTTTCCATCAATTGAACCCTTGCTGTCATAAGCATTATGATCATACCAGGTATGAACATCTACCTTTTATGCCAAAACAGATTTAGAGTTTTCTCTTGGCCTGCTTTATATTTTCCTTCTATTTTTTCTTTATTTGTTCATGTATTGCTGAATTGGTTTTTTAACTGCAGTTTGTGTTGCAAGTTTGTGTACTGTGCATTTATGTTCTGCAGGTTTTGGTTATGGGAAGAAAATTTATGGCAAGCAATCGACATGGCCTGAAAGATCGAAGAAGAGTTTTATGGAGATGGATTACTGATGCCTAATCGAAAGCTTGGACATGATTTGAGGGTTGGAAAGATTGAAGGCAAAACAAGATTAGAGGGAGCATAACATCATTGAAAAGTCTTGTAGTTTATTTATAATTTTCACTTGCTTCTTTTGTAAGAACACAGATTTGTAATATTTTGACATTTTAAGTTTTTTCTTTTCAACCAATGAATCTTAAACGAAACTTGTATGAGCATTTGGCATGGAATTCAAATAAAATAAGTCTTGAATCTTTGAGCTTGCTCATGCATAAAATTGCATAACACTTGAATGCAATTCTTGTATAGTCTTCCTACATATGCTTCTGTTTTTCTTTTCAATTTGCAATGCTTCAAAGTGTAAAGATACGATGCAGCTTGCATCTTGAATGAACTCAACTAAAATAGCACTTGAATATGCTTCATAAACCTTGTGAATTCTAACTGATATCTCGCCTTCTTGTTTTAATTCAAGTTCAAAGGCTTCATGCAAAATCCATGAAATAGATTATATCTTTAACAAACACCATTTCCACTTACTAACATTAGCATAATGGTAAAGCCTTGAGGGAATCTGAAGAGTGAACATGGAAATATGGAAGACAACCTTGACATGAAAATTCACTGATCTTTAGTTGGGTATTAAGAAAACTTACCCATGATAAGACGTAAACTCTAACAATTCACAACCTTAATCAAATTGCTTCTGGAAGTAACTTGAAATATGGATTTGCCTTGGTAAAAGAAGAAATTCTCAATGCTCATGATTACGAACCCTAATTCCTTAAGCCAATATTGATGAAGAAACACATTGAAAAACCTTTGATTAAAGATAAGATCTTCAGAGCCAAAGAAACCCTAATTCTTTAGCTCAACGCTTAAGAGAAATAGACAAATCAGTCTTATTTGATATGTACCCCTCAAAGTACTATGAAAAATCGTGGCATTCCACATCCGTTGAACTTTTGAACCCCTGTGCTTAATTCAATGCAAATGCATGCTATGTTAGTGCAGATGACCTAATGAAAAGATGTGAATGCAAAAGCCTAAGCTAGATAAAAGAAATTAAGAGGACAAATTTTGAGGTACAATAGCTGCCCCCTATTTAATCGCCTTCAACCTGAAGGTGAGATTGGCGCTAACCTTTCGAGCTTTTAAGGTGGAAAAAGATTAAATACTTAAAAGAACCCGAAAATTTTCACTCTGAAGCTAGTCAGGTATTATTATATTTTTTGGTTTAATGTATTTTCTGTTTTTTTGCTTTTTGGGTAAAAGGGGTTATCATGGATAAATGTATGTCAGACCAGAGTTAGACACACAGAAGAAAATTTGGTTATCAAGGAACATCTGTTTGGAGTTAGTAGCGAACACATGACAAGAAAGATATCAAAAGTGCATGTTCGGGGTTGGTAGCGAACACATACGAGAAATATATCAAAGATATATACCCGGAGTTGGTAGCGGACATAAGGAGGATACTGAAGGTGGAAGAGATCTAACAAAGTGATCTCGACCAAATATATCAAGGAAGGAAGAAATCATACACAACAGTTTCAACCAAAGATATCAAAGAAGGAAGAAACCTAACACATCGGATTCGATCGCAGATATCGAAGATGGAAGAGATCTAACAAAGCGATCTCGATCGGATATATCAAGGAATGAAGAAATCTAACACAACGATTTCAACCAAAGATATCAAAGAAGGAAGAGACCTAACACAATAGACTCGACCAAAGATATTGGAGATGGAAGAGGTCTAACAGAGCAATCTCGACCGGATATATCAAGGAAGGAAGAAATCTAACATAGTGACTTTAACCAAAGATATTAAAGAAGGAAGAGACCTAACACAGCAGACTCGACCAAAGATATCAAAGACAGAAGATATCTAACAAATCGATCTCCACCTGATATCAAGGAAGGAAGAAATCTAACATAACGACTTCAACCAAAGATATCAAAGAAGGAAGAGACCTAACACAGTGGACTCGACCGAAGATATCGAAGATGGAAGAGATATAATAAAGCAATCTCGACCGGATATATCAAGGAAGGAAGAAATATAACACAACGATTTCAACCAAAGATATCAAAGAAGGAAGAGACCTAACACAGAGGACTCGGTATAAAATATAACACCGATTGAAGGCGAACTGGGAACAAAATATATGCGTCTGGTTGGAGTTAGACATATATATAAAAGAGACCAGTCAAAAAAGACTCTAACCAGGGCAATGGGATGATCAAAATATAACCTGGTCGGAAATGTTAGCTAAGCTAACATTAAGTAAACCCAATCGAAACGGATAAACCAGAGAGAATGAACTGATCAAAACATAACCTAACCGAAAATGTTAGTCAAGCTAACAGAAGGTAAATCCGATCAAAATAGATAAACCAGATAGAAGGAACTGATCAAAACAAAATCTAGACAAGGAAAGGAAATGATCAAAACAAAACCTAACCGAAAATGTTAGCCAAGTTAACAGAAGGTAAACCCGATCAAAACGGATAAACCAGAGAGAAGGAACTGATCAAAACAGAACTTAGACAAGGGAAGGAAATGATCAAAACATAACCTAACCGAAAATGTTAGCTAAGCTAACAGAAGGTAAACCCGATCAAAATGGATAAACTAGAGAGAAGGAACTGATCAAAACAGAACCTAGACAAGGGAAGAAAATGATCAAAATATAACCTAACCAAAAATGTTAGCTAAGATAATAGAAGGTAAACCCGATCAAAATGGATAAACCAGAGAGAGAGGGAACTGATCAAAACAGAACTTAAACAAAAATGTTAATTATATAGGAAAGAAACCGACCAAAACAGACTCCAATCAAGATACAACGATCAAAGGTAGACCCACCGATGAAAAGAAAACTAGCCAAAGATAGACTTTTGGAGAGATAACACTGACCAAAGGGGATACCAATAGACAACGATTCTGAATAGAACACCGATCGAAGGAGAACTTACAAAGAAAAGAGACCAGCTGAAGAGAACACTTGGGGAAAGAACTTACTGGGGATTCATGTTTGTATTGAACCCAAACAAAATGCCGGTCAAAGGCGAACTTGCGATTAGACAAAAGAGACAAATTGTAGGGACTCTAAACAAGGATTTCCAACACACGTTGGTCTTTAAGAGATTGCAAATATGCAAGAACTACAAAATCCCTCAGGACAAAGGCGGGGTGTAACTCTTCAAGAGTGTAGACTCAAATACTTAATAAGTAAGAAAAGCTATACTCTGACTCTTACTCGCACTCTAATCACAAAGGCTAACATGGGTAAAATAACTAAGGGTTTACAAAGGAAAGAGAAAACTGCGACTCACTGGGGAAATATGAAATACCAAAGACCCGATTGGTTGTAAACCAAACAGACTCCGCTGGGGAAATAGAATAGGATCATCCTAGGCTTGCTGTGGAGATAATTTAAATCTGGGCGTATAACAATATGGTCACTGCAAGTGAACATAATTGGCTTATACTCATGCATGTTTGAATTTTTTTAGCGTAATGCTTCATGCAATAGAAACGCTACGAGTTTTGGTAGATGTAATATAATGATGCATGTTTAGCAATGTACTGGGGAAAGCACATCAATAATCGGCTGTTGAGAAGAGAATGAACTTCTGAACGATTATTCTTGCATATCTGATCTTCGATAGAGAAAATGCAATCTGAACTTCAATGGGGAACCGGGATTTGGCACCACAACCTCTAAAGATTAAAATCAACGAGGAAGTAACTTCCTAGGGAGAATACTGCAAAAATAATTTGCAGTTCAAAGAAAATCTTGAATTCTGATCAAACTCCCAACTTCCAGGGGAACAAATTCTTTATCTTCTATTTAGAAAGAGGAGAGTTTCACTGGGGATGGAAACTTTCTTGTGTATAATCTCTTGATGAAGATAACTTCTACTGGGGAGTTTAGAAATTCTCAAATAAAATGAATTCTATTCAGACCACACTGGGGATAACACCACCGGGGGGAAAAATCTTCACTAGGGGAAGAAACAAACATCCTGGGACATAAACTCCACTTGGGACATCTCAATAAAATCTTCTATCATCGGGGATGAAATAGTTATGACCGGCACTCCCATGTACACCGCACTAGGGATACAGAACACTTGCTCCACTAGGGAAAGAAAGATTGATCCACTAGGGGATAATAGATAAGTTACTACGGGAAGTCCTCGAAATTCGACTTCGAATGGGGATAAAGACTGCCTCTTACATTAGGGAGCCAAAAAGCTTTAGATGGTAACATCAACAATATCCATTGCACTGGGTGTAGCTCTATGCAAAATTCAAACTGGCAATGATTTTTGTACTGGGGAGTAGAAACTACTTCATTGGGGATTGTGATACGGTGGGAGAACTGACATGGGATTTTGCGTTTGTGTTCGCAAATGTTTCGGTTTAGCAAGAGTCGCCACCGACTTTTTATTTTATCCTAAGGAAAGGTCAAAAAGCACAGGAAAGACCTTTGAGATGTTTTCTTGGGTTCGGGGAGTAGATTATGAAAAGGGAAGGTGCAAGCACCCTTTTCATCCATTGTTATCCATGGACTCTTAGTTACTTGTTTAGATCACTTGCTTTTGCTTTTCCATTGTTTGAAATGGTGCTTTGTGTGTGGTTTTCGAAAATGTTTTGAAAAGAGGCCATCGTTGTGGCAACCTATGTAATGATTCTTGTTTGAATGTATACAAAAGTGTATTGTATTTTAAAAGATGTTTCAATGTTTGAAAGTTTGATTTGGGAAATGTTTTGAAATTGTGTTGTAAAGTGTGTTTGAAAATAACAAGGATGTTTTTGCAAGTTTTTGATCAAGTAACTAAGAGTTGTCTACCCTATTTTACCCAAGAGTCTTTCCTACACATTTTTAACCCTTTTGACAATGTTGTTTTACCATTGTATTTGGTAAACAACTTTGTATTAGGATGTTAAACGGGACGAGT